ACTAATTGGTGTGTGTTATCTGGCTTCATGGACAGATAGAGCTGGGTGTCATCAGCATAGCAGTGAAAATGTATGCTATGTCTTCTAATGATGCTGCCTAAGGGAAGCATGTATAATGTAAACAGAATTGGTCCTAGCACTGAACCCTGTGGAACTCCATAATTAACTTTAGTGTGCATTTACATGAACAAATTGGAGTCTATTAGATAGATATGATTCAAACCACTGCAGTGCAGTACCTGAGCACCCACAGCGTGCTCTAATAGGATATTATGGGCGACAGTAGGGCCGGGTATCGTCAGTGATTTCTAGAATCGATTCAATCCACAATTCGATTCGGGGAAATTTTGCCTCAGACAGAAATATTACAATTCAGCTCATGCATCAGTACATTTCCATATTTTTATATCTATAAAAAGAACGCTGACACTTGTGAGACTTTATCACAGAAAAACATCTAGGTGATTTTCCTGGCCTGGGATTTTATAAAAATATTCTGCAGTAGATCAAAAACAAAAGAAAACCATGAATCAGCATCTGAACCAAGGGCATAGATTTGGCATGGACGGAAGGGACGTGTCCCCACCAGCGATCCAGCGATTACTGAATTGTCCCCACCAATAATTTGATCTCTTCGAGTAAAGAAAAACAACCCGATAGAAAGAAAAAACTATCTGTCTCATTCACCCAGCGGTGCAGAAAGAGTTAAATTACTTCTCTACTGGGGTCCTACGTCATGTGACAAATATGGCCAATGTGATTGGCTGAGCCTTTCAGGGAGCTCTGTTTAGTTTTAGCAGCGGCAAACCTGCGCTGCGAGGAGGACGGCGGCAAAAAGGAAGAATCTGGATATAAGAAAGTGTTTTTCAAAGAAACCTGTAAGTCACTTAAAGCAAAGCTCACTCATAAAATGTGTCCGTCACAATAACGTTACAGGCTATGCTAGGTTTTGGCGCACATCAGTCTAAAATTGTATGTAACCATGAATAACGTGTTTTATAAACTAACTGCACAACATGCAGCACTATTAGTTCTCTCAGTCTCAGAGCAGCATTTCTAATTTTGATTGAAACTGTCAGAAAACAGCAGCCTCGAGCAGCCAGGATATTAGTTTACAGAGGCTGTTAAATAATTTCATCCTAATGGCACTGACATATTCATAGGGTTCATTTTTGAGACAATATATCATGTAGTCACGATTTTGCAAATATCCACCTTATAGTGCAGTTTGCACAAATTGTTGTAAAAACGCACTCACCCTACAAACATTACTGATGAGTCAAGATCTGCACAAAGTGACAGAAACACTGAAGCAGCTCCACATTTTATTCTTATTGTCATGTATGTCCTATTTGTCAGGTGACAGAAGAACCAACACAAAGCTCAGAGAGTAATGGTGACACAAGATCACAGGTGAAATTGGATGATGACTTGCTGGTTCATGACTGTATTTGAAGCACATGTCTGACTGCATGTATGTGGAGTGTCTCACTGTTGTTTATCAGGTGACAGAGGCAGCTCTGCCATGTTGTAGCTCAGAGGTGAAGAGGCGAGGTCACAAGTGACTGGCTGATGATTTGGTGCTATAGATTAACTAGTATTTATTATCATGACAATTGTCAGGCTGCTTTTAGTCATCCCAGTATCCTCAGTTGAGGCTGAAAGAAGCTTCAGTGCTCTCAGAAAACATGGCTAAAGTCAACAATGACTCAAATGAGATTAAACAATGCTGCTGTATGTCCACCAGGAGAGACTGGACAGTATAGATGTACAACCAATATGCCAGCAATTTATCTCTGTTAACGAGAGGAGAAGGCATATGTTTGGCTGCTTCACATAGTGGACATTGAGTTGTTGTGTGGGGCACCAGTAGCATTAATGTCTGTTGCTGTAACAGTAGCTCATGCTTAGAATAAAAAATCCCAACTCATTGATTTGATAGGGGCAATAGTGTGGCTAAAATGTTGCATAATGTTACTGAGAGATCTTTTACTTTGTGGCAATCTTAGATGGACATAAACCACCAGGTCATTCAGTGTTCCCTTAGTGCTAATGTATCAGAGATGTTGGTGTAACTGAAGTAATGTTGTTAAGTTCTTGAACTCATATTCGTTTATTGTCATGACTGTATTTCAGGGCTGGACT